GATTATAACACTTATACCCCTTGTGAAGACTGCTATAATCAATAAACACACAATGATATGTCTTGGGCGAAAACTTATTTTTGTCTTTCAAATATGGAAAGCATCTATAACCAAATACCTTCAAACTATTATAGTCTGGATATTTACCAAATAATTTGAAGAATGGTGTCTGCATTTTGAGCACAGAGGATGGCAATCTGTTTATCAGATAGACTGCATTTAAAAAGGCTTCAGCGCAAAGAAATAGAGGTAACTTGGTATGAAATAGCATTGTCAAACCAGTCTCTACTATGTGTCTGTGCTTTCTTTCTGCAATATTTTGTTCAGGTGTATTTGGACATGAAATGTGATACCACAATTGTCCAAATGCTTAATGAAATCAGTTTTACAAAATTTTCCTCCACCATCACATTGGAAAATCTTTATGTTCCTTGAGAATTGGTTTTTTGCCATTTTTTGGAACTTAAGAAATGTTTCAAAGAATTCAGACTTGATTCTCAAGGGATAAATCCAGGTATACCTGGTATTATCATCAACAAAAATAACATAATACTTCATATGTTGGGATGATTCAACGGGAGCAGGACTCCATAAGTCACAATGAATTTTCAACAAAGGTTCTTTCTCAATCTTATTTCTTGAATCAAATGACAATTTACAGCTTTTTCCTAGTTGACAGCTAATACAAACAGTAGGATTCTTATTCCAACTACTAACCTTAATGCACTTATAGCTATTTAAATTTTTTATTGATCTAATATTTGGATGTCCAAGTCTTGTGTGCCAGATACTATCTGAATCCTTCCAACTTTGTATTGCTGTCAAAGCTTGCAAATTGTTATCCTCTAATGCATAAAGTTCATTCTTCTTAGATCCCTTGGCCAGCAGCATCCTTGTTTTCTTGTCCTTTACAACAAAATCAAAATTAGAAAACTCAATTGTGCAGGCATTGTCCCTTGTTAGCTTACTAACTGAGATAAGATTCTTCTTAAGTTCAGGTACTACAAGCATTTCATTTATTTTTAATCCAGACATTTTTGTACTTCTAACATGTGTTATAGCAAGTTCTGAGCCATTTCCTACTACAATTCTGTCCTTTCGTTTATAAGCTTTGAATTTTGACAGATTACCTATGGAGTTTGTCATGTGAGTGGTTGCACCTGAGTCAACATACATGTTCTCATCCTGATATTTCTCAGTTTGCAGGTTCGTTGTGGCAAGGTCTTGAGGAAGGTCTTCTGCTGCCTGATAGGAGAAATCCTGCTTGTAGAAACACTTGAGAGCCGCATGGTTGTTCCTTCCACATATCTGACAAGCTGCAGTCTCCTTCATTTTCTATTGGTTTTGATTCTAAGCAGCCTGAGTGCCTTGAGAATTGCCTTGACCAGCAGGTCAAAAACCTCTTCCCGTGGATGATAAATTCTGATTTCCTCTTCTATGTGAGAAACCTCCACGACCTCAATTTCCATTTGCTCTTTGCACTTGAAAAACCATGTTGTAGTTTGTCTGTTGACTATCTTCTTCATCTTCTCTCATATCAAATCCTCTCATAGCATTTACAAATTCATTCAAAGTGGGATAAGGAGCTTTTGCCTAACATCACAGTCCTAAAAGTCTTATATTTAGGACCTAATCCTCTGGCAAAGTTAATCACTTTGCTATCTTCGTCCACAGGCTTGTGTATGGCTGCTAAACCATCACAGATGTTCTTGAACTCCTTCAGATATTCATCAGTTGTTCTAGAACCAAGTTTGATGTTCTGCAACTGTTGATTGAGTTGAAATTCCTTATCTTTTGTTGCCTGAAGATAGGTTTCCTTAATGTTGTCCCATATTTCCTTCACTGAGGAACATCCAACAATCAGGTACATACCATCTTCTGTCATTGTACCTGAGATCCAACTTCGCAGCAAGACATCCTTTTCCTCCCAAGCATTCATCACTTCTACAATTTCAGCAGTGGTTGATCCTCCAACCACAGTCACAACAGTGCTTGACTCTGCTTTGCCTTCTTTGATGAAACTAGTCAGTTTCATGGCTTGAATCAATTGCAACATTTGGGTGCTCCAAATCAAATAGTTTGATGGCTTCAACTTGATTGGGCATGAGGCAATGAGGTAGTGAAGTGAGGTAGTTGAGAGTGTGGTTGTTGGGGTTGATGTTTTGCTTGAGGAAGAGGAGTTTGTCATTTTTTGAGCTCTGGAGTAGAGTTGCGCAATGGAGAGCTAAAGCTCTGATACCATGTAGAAAATTAGTTATTTTGGAGAAGAGAATAGGATTGTATTCAGTATATTACAGTGAGTACATTAAGCGTATATTTATACGCACAAACAAATGACTGCCTAGATGTTATACTCTTCGTAGGTTACATTGAGTTCTACTCTACCTCAAATATAATAAGATATTGGATAAAGATCTTGTATCTTTATCAATATCAATTAATAACTAACAACATATATTTCTAACTCTTATCAATATCTTCAACAAACGCAAGGGCGGATCTAGGTGAGAGGAAGAGGGTTTAGTCGAGCCCCTTCGCTAAAAGGTTTGTATTTTATTTAATGTATATATACTCCCTCTGTTTCAGTTTATATGAACCTATTTCCTTTTTGGTCCGTTTAAAAAAGAATGACCCCTTTCTAAATTTGGTAATAATTTAGCTTAAACTTACAATTCTACCCTTAATAAGAAGCTTTTATAACCACACAAATACTCTGGGCCCTTTTTTGAGTTGTTTAGGACCACAAATTCCAAAAATCTTCATGTTTTCTTAAACTCCGTGCCCAATCAAACAGGTTCACATAAATTGGAACGGAGGGAATATTAGTTATTGAATCTTTTTAGATTCTTTGTCGTTTACTTTTTGAATTTTTAAACCCCTTGGTGAAAATTCTACTTCCGCCACTGCTTGGACGGTCAAAAAATCACGACCGAGCAAGAGGGGAATATGTGACATGTTATCACCGGAGAGTCAGAGACAACAAAGAAATAAACAAATTCACATTCATCTTTCTGAACTTTACTGAATTAAACCACAATTGAACTTTATTGATTTATATTAGCAACAATCAACACACACATCAGGAAGCTGTTGTGACTAAAGTAAATGCATTGACATATGTAGATTTTAATTAAACAATGCACATCGTCACTTCTTCGTGTCGCAAGGTTTACGTAAGGTTTAATATCATTCATAGCAGAGATTGGCAAGTCACGCTCATCTATCACATAGGTGTAGTTCCGATCATAGTACCAATCAGCAAATGCCATCTAATGCCTTCATTAGATTCTGCATATATAAAACACTTCATTTAATATCATAATAAAACTACTTTATTTCCTTTTCTTTTTTCCTTAAATTTATTGTTAACCATAAGTTAATAAGTATACAATTCCAAACCTAAATAAATAAATAAATAAATAAATAAATAAATAAATAAAAAGGGCAGCCCAATGGACGTCTAAGCTCTCGCTATGCGCGGGGTCTGGGGAAGGGCTGGACCACAATGGTCTATTATATGCAGCCTTATCTTGCATTTCTATAAGTGACTGTTTTCACGGCTCGAACTCCAATTCCTGTGGGTGAGAATATGAAGAGATTTGGACTCCAATTCCTATCAAATGTTCATGCTATATCAACTAAAGTATCGAAGATGAAAAACATATTTTTACGAGGAGTGATATATGCAGACCTATTTGGCATTATTTTAATCAAACTTTTAGGGTCCAGATGAGTCAAACTGCAACTACTTTTAGACAACATGTACGTAAATGGTGGTTTATGAAAACCTCAAAACCATTACTGAAATTGATCCATCGGGCCATTCCTGGAATAATTATATGGCAGATTGAAATGCTAGATGCAAATGCGGATTTGAGAATGAGAGAATGTCCACTGGAAGAATTATTTGGAAGATACAACAACAAATAGGTATGATTGTTCATAAACAATTTCCTAAAAATAGTCCTTATCTGAACTTGGAGAATTTTTATGATATAGTGAATAATGTTAAGTTCCCAATCTCATCTATCTATGTTAAATGGAATCCCCAAACTTGGGATTTTTCAAGATCAATTCTGATGACTGCTCTAAAGATAACACATGCATTAGTGCAGGGGGAGTGATTATTCGAAATCATAATGGTGAATTATTAGCTACTTATGCAATCCCTTTCGGTATTATCACAAATAATATGGCAGAATCATTAGTTCTGAAGGCTGGATTAGATTGGTGTGTGGAGAAAGGATACAAGAAGATCATTGTGGAGATTGACTCTTTGTTATTGGTTAGCTGGTTGCTTGGAAAAGCTAAAATTCCATGAAAGTTAACTGATAAATTATGGATTTGAGAAACAAACTCGAACTTATGGAAGATAGGATAATAACATATTGTTATAGAGAAGGAAACAAAATTGCTGATATCCTATCCAATTATGGCTTGAAAGTTACACATATGACATGGTTTCACAATCTGCAACAACTATCAGAAGAGGCTAGAGAAGAATACAGAATGGACATATTACAATTCCCTTCATTTAGAATGAAACAATCCAAGAATACCATTTCTCTAGACAGGAGCCTGGGCAGAAAATATCAATTTAATGTACCTTGATATGCTTGTAATTATGCAATATAGAAGAGGGATTAGTAGCCCTCTCAAGTCACTATTTTGTAAGCTAGAACATATATATTTGTTCATCATTTTGTAAAGGTTTGAGGATGCTCAACCGACATTGTAACAGAGGTAAGATGAAGTCTTCCTCCAATATATTTATATATTTATCTATATATATTTGTCCAGGCTTATGAAGGAGCTGAATAGCTTTAACCGGAAAAAAAAACTTTACTGAATTAAACCACAATTGAACTTTATTGATTTATATTAGCAACAATCAACACATACATCAGCAAGCTGCTGTCACTAAAGTACATGCATTGACATAAATAGATTTTAATTGAACACTGCACATCGTCACTTCTTGGTGTCGCAAGGTTTAATATCATTCATAGCAGAGATTGGCAAGTCACGCTCATCTATCACATAGGTGTAGTTCCGATCATAGTACCAATCAGCAAATGCCTTCATTAGATTCTGCATATATAAAACACTTCATTTAATATCATAATAAAACTACTTTTTTTCCGTTCCTTTTCTTTTCTCCTGAAATTTCTTAGCACTAACCATAAGTAAATAAGTATACCAGTAAATAAATAAATAAACAAATAAAAAATGTACCCCAGTGCACTAAGTTTTTGCTGCGTGGGATACGGGAAGGGCTGGACCACAAGGGTCTATTTTACGCAGCTTTACCCTGCATTTTTGGAAGAGGCTGTTTCTACAGCTTGAACCCGTGACCTCCTGATCACATGAAGCTCTCGCCATGCTCGGGGGTCCGGAGAAGGGCCGGACCACAAGAATCTATTATACGCAGCCTTACCCTCTACAAGAGGTTGTTTCCACAGCTCGAACTCGTGATCCTTTTAACACATGGCAACAACTTTACCATATACGCCAAGGCTCTCCTTTTAAATAAATAAATATATAATCTCATACGTACCAAATTTTTAACTGTGGTGACATTTTTAGGAGACCACCATCCTTGGACTTGGGTATGATGATTGCGTGCGTCAATGAAAGCTCCTCTTAATTTAGGATTATTTCCTTTGGGCAAAGCATTTAAGAATTCCAACCTAAACTCTGAAATATCAAATCCAAAAGTATTAGAACATACACAAACGAATGATATTAACTAATTAAAAGAACTAATTAAAATTATCCAAAAGTGCTAACCTCTGAAGAGTTTGTTCTCAGTTGCAGTGCAATTTCCCCCTTCAATGCATGTATTTATCCCATCGTATATAGTAGTGTTTATCTGCAAAACAATATATGGAAAAAGATAATGTAAAACTAATATCAAACTACAGCCGAAGATACATATGTGAGCTTTGTCTCTGAGAAAAGTTTTTTTGAAGTCATGAAAAGGTTCCACTTTTCCGAAAAATACGGTGTATATGAGAAGCGGGTCCAGTATTTAAACTTTACGAGCTCGGTTGAACTCATAGCTACTATTCTAGATACTCCCTTGGTGCATATAGGTTAAATTGTACACCCTAAGTGAATTCTTGATTTTGTCACGGACCATAGTAAATAGAAGGATAAATAACAACAACAACACACCCAGTATATTTCTACAAGTGGGGTCTGGGAAGGGTAATGTGTAAGTAGGCGTTACCCCTACCTAGGGGTGGTAAAATGGTTAAAAGAAAACAGTTAACTACCCATATTATCCACTAAAAATGGGTTAGATAATGAACTTTTTAAAAATAGGTCAAATATGGATAAGAACCATATTATCCATTTAGAAAATGGATAACCAATGGATAATCAATGGGTCTAACTTTTACATTTGTAAAGCCTCAAATTGGGGGTTCCTCAAGTTAGGGAACCTAAGAATTCTCCCAAAAGTGATCATATGCAAGAATTCATGGATAATACGGTTACCCATATTATCCGCCGGTTAATCCATTTTTTATCCGTATTAAATATGGGTCGAGTCTGATAATTGATCCGTTTTTTCATTACCCGTTTTCGACCCGAACCATATCCGACCCGTCCCGCACGTTTGCCACTCCTACCCCTACCTAGTGAAGGTAGAGAGACTGTTTCTAATAAACCCTCGGTTCAGTAAATAGAAAAATAACAATTGATAAATATCAAAGTACCTGGAATTTATCAAATGCCGACATTGCAATGTAAAGTGGTGTCTTGATTTTGTGTTGCATGTTCTCCGGGAAGAAGCACTGCGTGTAGTGAATTTGAACATTAGTTTACATGCAAAAAGACCAAAACAACATGAACTAAATCAATCGGTAGCAGTTTGTACCATTTCTGGTTTCATTTTTTTAGTGCATGATTTTGGTAACGTTTTGGCAGATCCCTGCACAGTAGCTCAGATAATTAGGTTTAGATCACACAAACCAACATGTGTCGTTTTTTCTTTTTTCTATTTATGAAGAAATTTTCCAAAAAAAGATACCACGTAATTAACTCAGGAATAGGAATTTACATGTAAATTAACAATTGCTTTATACATTTCAGTAAAATTTCTTGCTTGGTGTGGATCCTTCCTATAATTAGAAAAAAAGAGCTCCAAAGTTAGTTTGCAGTTATGAATATATCATTTTGTTAAACAAATAATTATGTCCATGCATAAAAATCTTACACATGGATAAAATAACCAGCATCAACCATGCATTTCACTCTAGGAGTATTTGGCAACAATTTATGGAAGCGATCACAGTATAGCATTGCCGGGTATCCTGCAGCAGAACTTCCGATAAGAAGTGCCTGCAATAATTAACTTATATGAGTATGTGTTAAGAGTGGCGGAGATAAGATTTTTATCAAGAAAAGTAAAAACAAGTGGAAAATAAGGAAATTTAATATATATATATATATATATATATATATATATATATATATATATATATAAAATCTGGCGTTATATATGCAGTGTACTTTTTATTTCTACATGAAAAAGTAGCTAGATTTTGATTGTTTTAAAAACTGTCAATAATATTCAATTAACAGTTGCAAATCGAACTCCAGCATATTATGCTGGGATTTTTTCATATTTTAAACGTATTTTTGTTCAGATTTTATTTTTACATGAAAAAAGTAGCTAAATTTCTATCACCTTTGAAATTCTGAATAATTTTAAATTAGCAATTGTAAATCAAGCTATTTTTTATTTTCTCGTTGAAAAAAGTTGACGCAATTAAAATTTACTTACGCTCTGCGCGTTCTTCAATCCTTTTGCTAGAACATCCTCCATTACTGCTTTAAAAATCCTTGCACCTCTAAAGTGAAGATTGGTAGCCTTAAAAATAAAAGGAAGAATGTGACTCTATTAAATGTCTACATATTATAAATGATAAATTTATAGTAGATTAAAATTAGAGAACATACAGGATCAACATATTCGGCATTTCCTGTGAACGCTCCACCATCACAGTATCTAACAAATACTTTGTTCCAATTGTAGAAATCTGCATATTTTACATCAAGAAAACAGATCATGACCTGTTTAACTAGAACAGAATAATAATGTATACCAATTAAGGCAACATTAAAATTAAAAAATAAAACTGATGCGATAAAAATAAAAATAAAAAAACATCTTCTAATAGTTTAGTCAAAGAGATATATATACCTGGATTTACACTCCGAGTCTTGCTGTAAATTCCTTGAAACCACCATGGTTTCATATAGTTTGAGGAACCAAAGTCAGATTTGGAACGATTCAGACACTCTTCCACGGTTGTGCACCATGCTCCTCCCTAAGTACAAGGTGAGAATTTCCAATAAAAAAAAAAACTTTAACCAATACTATATATATCTTGGAGAAAATTCATAAATAGTTTAATCTAGTGGGGACGATACTCTACGCATCACTCTATTTTTTGTGGATCACGTATACTTATGTGTTCGTTTGACCCGAACAATTGTAGACATAGTGAATTAGATATGACTTACCGAAAGATGAACTAGCCATTTTCCTACTCCGTCTCCGAATCCTGGTTCAAAATGGTATGCTGGAGGTGATCCGTCCAAGCACACTGCAACATTAAAAAAATATTACTATAACTCTTTCTGCAATTCAAAAATTACTTAATATGATTATATTAAATGTGTTGATAATGTAACTAAATAAATAAATATATGCTCTCTCTAACATTTTCAACTTTAGATGACATGATCACATATTTCAACATGATATCAGAGCAGACAAAGGTCATTGGGTCGAGTCCCGCTGCCACCCGTTGTAAAAGAGAATTTTCATGTTCTTGGCCCATGAATAAAAACTAAGCCCACGTGAGGGGGCGTATTGAGCATGGGCGAAGCCACATGATCATAAGGGTGGTCAGTTGACCACCCTTTGTTGAAAAATTATACTATGTATATAGGTACAATATTACGTTTTAGAGGTATATAACACATATTGAACACCCTTTGTCGGAAATTTTTTTCACTTCTTTTATATTTGAACACCCTTGGAGAAATTCTTAGCTTCGCCACTAGTGTTGAGAATATAATTGAGTAAATAAAAGTGCGCTCTCTTAAATAACTTATTCTTTTAATTGAGATGGTCACACACTTCGACAAAATATACATAAAATTAGTGAAGGAAATTAACCTGCTCCTTTTGATACAGCATTGTGAACGACTGTTTTTTCCACATAATATCCCTGATCTATGTATGATGTTGCATTTTCTTTTACACAAGCCTCAATGTTGATAATAATGGCCAAGAAACAAATAAGTACACAGACAAATTGAAATGTTTTGGCCATCATCATCCTGTAAGACATAAAACAACTAAGGGAAATAAGAAACTGATCATATCTTAGCAATATAGAATAAGGGAAATCGTTAAATTATTCAATTAGATAATAATTGAATAATTGAATTCTTTTTTCAAGTTGATTCAAATTTGCTTGTTTGAGAAGAAAAACGAAATTATTCTACATGCACGTACTTTTATAAATATATGTTGGCAAAAGATTTATTTTGTTTTTTCCAACTTATAAAATTTGATCTATATATAGAGAATTTTTGGGAATTGCCGATGGTTGAAGTTAGTGCAGAGAAAATAGGCAGGCCATAGACGAGAGAAATATTAGCACCACATGTCTGTCTTTCCATTAATGTCCATCTTTCATTGAAACCTCAAGATTTGCAAGGCTACTAGGGACCACAACTTTATTTGTGGTAATTATAATTTACGCATGCAGTTCAAAATTTAATTACTTTGAAAGTTTCTGCTTTAGAAAAATACTTTTAAACTATCAATCAACCATATCTCGATCTTATAGACTTATATTAGTTGATCAGCTCTAAGTATCTTATATATTTATTATATTATGAACTCAAACTATAATTGAGTATATATTTATCATAATTGAGTTTTTTAAATCATATTTGGTTTTCTTATATCTTGAAGGAAAGAGCAACGTATTTATAATAATTAGATTTTTCTTTTCCTAGAAGAAAAATATAATTTTTTCATATTTGACTAGTCCCTTTTTTTGGAAGGATAATGTTTGGACTTCTAAAAATTGAGGATCATTCCTTTTCATTCAGTAGCATCCGCAATGTAGCCATATGGGATTTGAGAGTCTTGTTTAGGAGGAGATCTTTTCGGGACAAGTGTTAGTGTGCAACTTGTGTTTATCTCTTTGTAAGGCTGTTCTCATGATAGTTTGTACTCTTTTTTGTATAGTGGGTTTCTCATCTCCATTTGTGGACATAAGTCAATTCACCGAACCACGTTAAATGTTTGTGTCTCTTTTGATATATTTCTATTTTGTGATCTAATTTATCATCATTGAAGGCTTGCTTTACTAGCTTCCGGTTGACACATAATTATTTTGATCCTAATAGCTATATACGGTTTAACTCACAAAAGTGATTGAAGAAAGGAAAATACGGCGATGCGTTATTATATAGAATTAAGCTTATTAAAGGATAATCAATGACCAGAGAGACATGTCAACTGTCGAGACTTCTTAAACATAATATCATAATTACTGTTAAATAATTAAGCTCAAAAGGTAACAATATAAAAGATGGAAGCAAGAAATAAAGTGACAAGAGAAAAGAATTTTTTTATTTCTTCCAAGTGTTTAAGTATGTACTACATAATTCTCAGTACCTCTATTTATAAGGTTAAACTATATTGCACTTAAAGGGCTGGTTGCCCTTTTTGACCGTGTTGTTTGCCACGAATTTGAAAAATGCTCAGGCTATGTTGTTATCAGAAATCGCCCCTAGAGGAAGTGAAATAGTTTTATCGGTATCTCTCTCTAGAGAAACTCTCCTCCTTCTCACTAGGAAACTTCACTTTCTTCTGAAATAACCAAATCCCTCACCAGCCATCGATGGAACCAATCAATAACCAAGAGGAAGTGCCTCCAAAACTTCCAGATATTAATACTTTGCAGGAAAACGAGCCAATCTCTTTTAAAGCCAAACTACTCTCCAATGAACAAGAGAAAACCTTTTCAATATCGTCCCCCCCACCATATTTAATGCCCATGGCCATTGATGCCATCGAGGAAGAAGGGAAAAAGTTTTCCAATCTACATGAAACTGAATATTCAGTCCCAATAACTGGGGAAGACAAAAAACGTATCTATTATCCATGAAGATTTTCAGTCATTATCAACCTTCATGGTAAAAAAATATTACACCAAATTCTAAAAAGAAAACTGAATGAGATCTGGAAACCATCGGAACCAGAGAATGGGTCTTGAAATTATCTCGGGGGAAGGTGTTAGGCACCCCCCAAGATCCACTAGCGTGGTTCCCGGCCATGCTATAATTGTGACTTTAAATATAAACAACAAGTAGACATACAAGACAGCTTTCACATAACGATTGCAAACAAGGGAAGTATAAAAGTTAAATAAACATGCTGAAGTTCGGAGATAGGCGATTTCATAATTATTTAAGGGATATACAAGTGCAAGAAAAAGGGAGTCAAATAATTGGTACAAATGATCAAACAAAGGGAATAAAAGAGGCGGAGGTTTGGAGAAGAAACAGTGCTGGAAATCAAATAATTAAAAGAGATTTTTTAGTGATTGAAGTAAAAGAAGAAGTTTAGAGAACTGAAAAATTAACAGCTTTTCTAAAAAAAAGTTCTGGAAAGAAAAAAAAGTAAACAAATGGGGGTCCTAGGTTTATACATAACATGGATCACCCCACACAACACCCGGTAACCATTTATACACGTGGTGCTATCGCGTGGTCATCACATCCATGTCTACCCTTACCCACCTCGTTAAGGTATTAAATCACAGAATGGTCTCGTTACTTATTGCATGCTATTACCCGCCCCAATCCTATCAGTCCAGGAGGCAGTTGGGACTACTAATCCTAAAGGGAAGGAGATTGGCTTTTCAGAGTTTTAAAAGGACAAAAGTCTAGTGCGACAAACAAAACACATAAAAGCAGTAAAAGGGGAAACACATAGCAGTTAAAAGCTCAAATAGGCCTCCTCATTCAAAGCAACGAATTGTTTAGCATGACTTACAGGTACTGGTTAGGTCCTTAATTAAACTTAATCGTTAAAGGGATGGCTGATTTATCACTTATTTTCAGATAAGAAGTCCAAATTAGGTCTGCCTGCTGGTTGTAATTATTAAAGACTGGTATAGTGATTAGTTACCTAATGATTTGCCTAGGTGAGACCTATAGGCATGATATCTAACAAGGTAAAGCATACTGATTTTAAGGAAGGATTACTGTTTTTAGAAATAAACCAATTCTGCAGATACTAAATGACATTATTACTGATTTTAGACTCGCGGATGAATCGGATTTAAACGATTGCTCCTATAGGCATGAATTCTAAGCGTTACTGAATTTCAAAACGGTTACGTAAGTGCAGGAATCTTATAAGCATGGTATCTAGGATGCGATTGACTATTCTTTAACCCATAGATTTTTTGCCTAGTGACATATGCATATGCAGAAATGTAGAAACTTATAGGCATGACTTCTATATGCGGAAATGCAGACACTTATAGGCATGATCTCTAATGTGGGAATGCAGAAACTTATAGACATGGTCTCTAATGTAGGAATGCAGAAACTTATATACATGATTTCTAACGAAATGCATAACTTATAGGTAGGATTTCTATATGCAGTAATGAAACAACTTATAGGCAGGATCTCTATATGCAGTAATGAAACAACTTATAGGCAGGATCTCTATATGCAGATACATAAACGAAAAGGTTGTGATTGCAGAAGTAAAGACCTAAAACATGATATCTACCCCATATGCATAACATGAGTGACCCTCCCCCATTTTTACTATACACCCCATAAGTTATTACAAGATTATTACAACTTGAATGAATCCAGAGAAAATTACATCAGAAAAAATACCAACCAAGGAGAGCCTAATTTAGACTCCTAGTCTGAAACATGAAATAAACCAACTTCCAAAGATCAGATTTCCAAAGCCTTTCTCATCTTTGGGTGTGTCAAAGTTCAAAGGAGCTTCATGAACTCCAGGCAGCGCTTACACCCAAATACATTGCAGGATCAGATTATAGTGCAGTGTGGAAGAGCCAGCCCTCAAATGTTCAAGTTCAGAGGGAACTCAAGGTCCCCAAGGCAAGGATCATAGGAGGGGCCAGAACATAGAGTCTAAGAGTAAGTGTAAGTGCAATAGAGGGGGAGTTAGGGAAGGCCATGACAGGCTAATGGTCATGCCCAGCAATTAGGAATGCTGGCACACCCCTGACCATCCTGTTAGCTAGATTTGGGAGTTAGGACCCATTGAAGGTCAGGTTCAGACCTGGGCAGTAATTTGGATACTGCCAGGCCATGAACTTTAACTCAGCACATAAAAGGGAATGAGGGTATGGGGAATTTATAACAAACAGTAAACATAAAAGAAAGTAACATATTTAATACAAAACATGAGCAGCAAAGTAGGCAAGAGTGTATTGACTGTAAAATAAACACATAGGGAAGAAGCTGAAATCAAAATCGAGACATACCAGTTTCAGGTAAAACAGCAGTCTTGAAAAGCTAAGTTGCAAGCAAAGCAGTACAAAAGTCTCAGAAGAGAGTAGAGAATTGAAAGAGTATTGTGATTGAGAGTATGCGTGTGAGAGTATGAGTATTGAACTTAGGATTCAAAAGTTCAAAGTTGTTTTAGTGCCGAAGGGTCGAGCCCCTTTTGTAGTGCAGCAAACAAGTAAGAACAAGGTAAGGAAATAACATTGTAATCAATCTCCCTTTAGTTAAGGGATTCTGATTTCAAACAGGTAAAAACAATTAAGTAAAGGGATTTAAAAAAATATTTTCCAGGAAGTACAATAAAGGGTAAATACATAGCCGTTATTTAAGGCAACAACCCAATGGTACACGGTTTGTGTGAAATAAGGAAAGGTAATCAATCAGACAACTAGTATAATCAAAGTTACAGGCTTTTACTCGAATGAATCAAGTCAGGAAAGGGGTAAATAAAGGTTTAATTTAAAGAAAATCAGTAACAATCAAGTAAACACTATTAAAGGAATTCGAAATTAATTAGTAGTTGGAAAAAACCCTTTTGAAAGAAGAACTTCTCATATATAAAGCAGACAAATCAAACAAAAGAATCGTCATGTTACTTAGAAAAATAGTTCTAGCATTGAAAGGTTAAGAATCATAAGCAAGAGGATACGAGTCTAATTGCAGACTCACAATGAGTCTGAGAGTCCAGGGTCCCAAAGTGGAACCCTAACTCGAACACAATATCAAAATCGCCAAGGGGAACCCCCAAATGCTAGGGTTTCAACTTGAATCAGACATAAAGGTGAGAAAGCAAGCCATTGAAATAGACTCAAAGGTTTGTTTTAGAGCCTCAACAAAACAGATATGAGAGCATGTTTGAACAATAAAGTAAGAAAGCTGATTCAAGATCATGAAGAACATATTTGAGAAAACTCGGACCTTAAACAAGTTCAGAAGAAAGAGATGATACAAACTTAAACAAAAGTAGATGAAGCATGTTTAGCAAG